GTGGTAGTAGAGCAGGTAGGGTATTTTCCTTGCACACAACCACCTTGGATTTAATCTCCAGCATCCCATATGTTTCCCCAGCACCACCAGGAGTGATTCCTGAGTGCAGAGCCAGGAGTAACCCCTGCGAATCACTGGGTGTGGCTCAATCCTCCCAAATAATAAAATTAAGAATAAAAACTGACAGGATGAAGTAATGATAATAATAATGAAAGTATGAAAATTGGCAAACTGTTTAGCAGCAACTACCAAAATGGGAACATGTTCATCCACTATGACTCAATGGTTCCACCAGTAACAGAAAGGCATGCACATATAAAGCTTAAGTAACAAATATCCATAGTAATGTTAGTTATAATAACCCTGAATGGTAAATTCCCACTTATGGTAAAATGGATGAATAAATTGTGCCATATTAACAAAAAGTAATATTGTACAGCAATGAGAAGGAACGGTCTAAGCTAAATGCGACAGAATTGATGGATCTTATGAGCATATTGTCAAATGAAAGAAGTCAGAAAAAAGGCTATACTCTGAATTATCATATAAGAGTCAACTAGTACAATTTATGCCAAAGCACACAATTATCAGTGAAAACAGGGATGTGACTTATGTGAAAATTGTAACTGTTGTTAACTACAGGAGGGACATTGTAATTAGGAGTAGGGCAAAACCTGGGCATAACAGGCGCTAATATATTTTTAATATTTTTATTTGGGGCCACACCTATTGATGCTCAGTACATACTCCTGGCTCTGTGCTCAGGGTTCACTAGGAAACCCTATGGATGACAGGGACTGAACTTGGGTCAGACATATACAAGGTAAGTGCCCTGTGTTCTATACTACTGCTTCAGCCCTGAGTAGTAGTCTATTTTTAAGCGGGTGATACTTAACATGATTTATGCACTTTTCTTTATGTGTGGTATATTTCACATAAAGAAGAAGTAGCTCTAGAAATATTTTTCCTTTCTAAAAAGGAAAAAAGCCAAAGAGAAATCTTTGCTTCTGACTAATGAAACCCTATGTTCTATTCATCCTCTGATACTTGTTCCCATTAATGGGATTCTGGCTTTATTCAAAGAAGACTGAGAGTGTGTCACATAACTTTTTATATCCACCCTCCCTAGTTTTCCATCTTTAATGTCAGCTGGACTCAAACTTTCATTCAACCACTATCAGCCAACTGAACAGAATCAAAGATACTATTGCTGCCACTCTCTAGGACCCTTCTTTCATTCTCCCTCCCTCTCATTATTAAGTAATTATTATACCATTTTACTTCAGTCTTTCTCCTGAATGTTTTTATCTTATTTTTAGCCTTGTTTATGTCCTAAGGAACAATTATTGGATGATACAACTGGATGTCATTGGCTTAAGACTCTGCAAGTCTCTTCAAAGACACAAGTATCCACTGCCTTCACTGCGCAGCTTCCTCTGCTCTTGGCCAATTCACTTATAATATCTACTTATCCCCATCCCAAATCCCAACCCTTTCCCTAAGATCTCACAGGACTAACGTACCTATCTGAAATCCTTGGGCTCAGATATGTTTCAGAATTCAGAAACTTAGAAACTATATCAAGATAATCCTGTGTAATCTGCCTATATTACATAATTTCTAGCAGGTTGTCAAATAGTTTCCCATAATAAAAATACATTAATATTTCTGTCATTAAGTAAATGATATTCATATTTAATGAGACTTGAAGATTATAAACACCTTAATTTTACTTAAAATGAGTTTTAGCATCAAGCTTGTGAGATAGTTTTTTTTCTAGGATGGGAGCACAACTAGAGGTGCTCAGGGCACCATATTTAGTGCTGGCATGGAACCATATTCGGTTGCATGCAAGGCAAGAACCTTAACCCCTGTACTTTCTCTCCAGCCATGACAAAGTGTGTGATTTGCAGAGTTCTTCATGATTTTGAAAATACAAATATGTAATGATTATCCATAGTAGTAACCCAAAGCTTGTTTGTTGGATGGACAGAAAGATGGATGGAAGTGAATGGATGTGATGTATAAACATACATTTATATTCCCTAATGATCAAAAAAAATTTATATTTATATAAAATTTTTATTTATAAATTAGTGTTTATGTACTTAGTCAAGTGTGTCCAACTGTGAGTTGAGTTGAATTGTGATAATACATTGAATTCTAATGATAGTAAGAAGACCATCATTAGAAAAATCTACCACCATAAATGGCTTGTGTTGGGTCAGGTGACCATGAATAAACCAATCAATGACTTCTCACATGAAAAAAACAGTGATTATATTCTTTTTCCTGCCCATAGAGCAATCTGTAAGGTATTTCTTGATCAGTAAGGAAGAATGAACATGGCATATACTTGGGGTTATTTTGTTGAGTCCAATATGAAAGGAATAAATGGACTACCTCTATATAGATGACCGTTCTTAAATTACCTTGATTTCATGCAGGCTTTGCAAAGATATAGAGTGACAATAGGTTGAATTCATCTTCCCCAACAAATACTCAGAGTTCAGTGACTATGTATTTCTAAGTGGAAGTAGGTGTTTTTACTTCCAGTCACCCCAGGTAAAGGTTACTAAATCTTGAGTTGTGATGCCTGAGGGACAAATCAAAGAGTTCTGGAGGAGACAAGCAAGGGAATGGAGTTTGAGTCAAATCAAATTTTCAGGTTCCTGCACCCAGAAGATGCCAAGGAATCTTGGGAAAACTCAGCAGAAGAAAAACCATACAAGTATGTGTAGTACAAATACCTAGAGAGGAATCTCACTGGGAAAGGGGCATTTGAGAGAGTTTAGAAGGATCAACCTTCAAAGTAGGTAAAGGAAGATACATGATAACTTTCAGTGCCTATACTGCAAACCCAATGCCCAAAAGGAGAGAGTGAGAGAGAGAGAGAGAGAAGAAGAAGAAGAATAGTGCCTGCCATAGAGGTAGGCAAGGGGGAAAGGGGGAAAACTGGAGACAATGGTGGTAGGAAAGGTACACAGGTGAGGGGATGGAGTTGGAACATTGTATGACTGAAACCAAATCATGAACAACTTTGTAACTGTATATCTCATGATAATTCAATTTTTAAAAAAGAAGCATCAGCCTCAAAATTTCAGGGACACTGGTCAGTTTGGTCTTAGTCAGTAGGTACTATGAGTTAAAAGTTTGTTAGCTCCCTTGAAAATGACCCAGGTTTTTCTATCTTAAAACACAGAGACCTGGCTTAGATCTCTTTTTTTTTTTTTTTTTGCTTAGATCTCTAAGGTCTCTTCTAACCCTTCTTTTCAACACCATTGAACCTATAATTTTCTTTTCAAAGTATTTTTCTTTGGGGGAAGTTAGGTTATTTGGGTCACATCTCACAGTGCTCAGGTACTACTCTCAGCTTATCATTCAGGGGTCACTAGGGGATACTCAGAGACAACTTAATACCAGAGTTTGAATCTGAAACTTCCATATCAAAGCATGTGTTCTGCTCCTTTGAGTTATCTCTCCATCTTTATTTTGTTTATTACATTTATAGAAGTAATTAATACACGTTTCTTGCTGACAGTTTGGAAAATCATGTAAAAACATGAATGTTTACACTTACCTGTCATTCCATTTTCTGCAAGTCTGAGTTTATTTCAATTCCTTATTAAATATTGCTTCCTTTAATTTTTCATTTTGACTTCAGAATTATGCATACTTTTGAATTATTATTTTATTGAAGAAATCTTGATTCACATGAGTATAGATTTTATGTGTTTTAGGTGTCAATTTTACCACCACTCCAAAAAAGTGCCAGTAAACCTCCATCACAATCCATACCACCTTTCTCTTTATAATATTGTGATCATAGAATTTTGTATTCTGAGTGATATACATATATAGAAAGAGTGAACATTTCCAAGTCATTTCAAAAGATATGATTCTGTCTGATTTGAATATTTACAAAAAGTATAAAATGGAATCCCTTGCCTTATGAAATTTACATCTGGTTAAAGAAGATTTATATAAACCAATATTATAAATTGAAATAAAATGAAGTGTCATTTCTTTGCAAAAGCTAGGAGGATGCCAAGAATTCAAAGGAGGAAGATATTGATATGGAAAACTATAGCAAGGGAAGGCTCTCAGGGAAAGTAGGACTTAAATTCATCTTGAAAAAATTACTGAAGGGTCATGAGTAAAACAGAAATATCGTGGAAATAAATACTTTGGGGAAAACTGGACTAAGAAATCAGATCCAGTTATTATTTCTGGTGTCCTCAGTTACCTGTGGCCAGAATTTCACTATTCTCCAGTGGCTAATGTTACCTGAGTCCCCAAACCCAGGTTTCTAACCTAAAAGAAATTTGGAGGATGAATGTGTGAAAAACGAAGCATTTAGATCAATGTGTCAAAGCTTAGGCTCAGATTTTTTTAAGTTTAGCAATTGACTTATTTCTTTTTGAATCTTGAAGACAGGTGTTTCAAATGTTATGGTACTAGTGGTTAGAGTTGCCAATTGGACAACTTACTATGTATATTGCTGACTACCTGACTCTAAGGCTGTAGTAACAGTAAATTCACTTCTGTAGCATGGTGATCACAATAAAAAACAGATAATGCTTATGGTACAATCTTCCTATATCCACTGAAAACATAGTTGAAAATTCATAAAGTTCGCTAAACCCCATATATGGTATGAAAAGTACACCTGTAAAACAAGGAAGAAAAACAAGCTTGAAGAAAACTGATAGAAAGATAGCCCTATATGATATACCACAGTTAGAAATTCAGTTGTGATATATCTTAAAGTTCTTTGCCTATATTCAGGACATTTGGTAACAAATAGTTTTATTGACCTTCAACCAAACTCTACTGAGTTCAACCTCAGTCTTGTTCCTCTGTAAAATGGGAACCATCCAAGGTTTCCTTTTAGCAAAAACCATGTTTTGAGTCTATGAATTCTTTGAATCTTCACAGCCTTTTTGATTTCAGGAATCCCCTGTAAAAGTGTAAACAACACTAAGAAAATTACATCTTACCCTTTTTTGCCAGTCATCACCATACCCAGGAATCCAAGTCCTTTGGGGAATGAAACCAGGAGAAAGATCAGGCCCAGCCCAAGAAGAGAAACACAAAGAGGAGAAGTGGGTGGGTCCTCATGAGGAGACACCAATTTAGCAAAGGGAGCATCTTGATACCTCCTCCTTTATCTGCTCTCCCCCAAGTGTCCAGCTGCAGGTTATAATTGAGTGCGTGTCTATGGAGATGCCTGCTCACAACAATGTACCATGGCTGCCAGCTTGCTATTTCGAACCAATTGGAGAACCCGAAGTGAGGTGAGGTACCCTGAGGCCAATCATAGTGGAAGTGTCTCTTTAATGATCACAGAGACTGCATATTTGGCTTCTCCTCATTGGTTCAGGCCAACTGAAGCCTGTCTGGACTCTCAGCCAATGCTGAGCTCTCAGTGAACAGGAATAGATTCAGCTGCTGGATGCTGTTTTCTTCTGAGGCTGATGGGTAGCCCTGACTCAACTCAAGGATTCTCTCTCTCTCTCTCTCTCTCTCTCTCTCTCTCTCTCTCTCTCACCCTTGTCACTCTGACTGAAAACTTTTGCTTTGAAGCACAGAAGGTATGAATAATGGGACCTAATTAAGGCAGCCTGAGGAGAGATAGGAATGTGGGAGGTCATGGGCCATGCCCAGATTCAGTCCCTGCAGGTAAGTGAAGGTGAACTGCTAAAGGGAGATAAAAAGCATGTAGAACTGGAGGGACTGGGCACTGTAGGATAGAAGTCCAGGGAAGATTCTAACAAATCCCAAGTATTACTTTCTTCCCATAAGCCATTAATAGTTAAGTGGTTTATGTATAAACTTATAGTGCCTTCTCTATTCTTACTTATTTCTGGAAAGAGTTATTTTCTAGAGAGTGAAAGAAGTTTGTTGAGTGTGTGCAAGATCCCAACTGGTAGCAGCTATATTCCTTACTTTAGAATGCCAACAGTGTGGAGATAGACTTAACAGCTCTGGACTCCAAGGAACCATGTGTCCCATGAGTTTTGCATCCTGTATCTCAGACTACAATTTGACTATTTCTCATATGCTTCAAGAAATGCAGAAGCTGTGGGGGAGCCCTAAGTAGACTGAGTAGTTGCTGTTTTTTTTCCCTGACCACTGACATTAATGTAAGGGCAAAATCCTGAACCTTAGCAGCCACTTAAGTAATGCATGCATAAAAAGAAAAGTAAGAGAGTACGAGTTTCAGGCAAAGTCTTCAGGCAAATATTTCTATTCCAGGAAACATTCAGTCATTTATCAAACATTTTCTGAGTCTACAGACAAGCACTCTGCAAGATGCAAAGTGAGCAAAGAGGAATAAGACACACAGGCTTTTAGTTAATACAACTAAGACAAGGCTAAGGGAGGAGTGTGTTTTGAGCACTGATATATACTGATTTATGTTCTTTAGTTATTGGTATTATAAATGGCTTTAGAATGCTCCAGAACTGGTCCTCGATAAAACCAATCAGAAAATGTCTGTCATTGATGACCTTAAGGTGCTTCCCTTTAACGACTTTCATAAAACAATTCTGCTACAAAATTGCTATAAGACCTTGGGTGAGTCTATTGTAAAGTTTCTCTTCCTAATAAACAGCTTTGGCTAGAGGCTGTGAAACTCTTTTCAAATCTGATAGAACACCAACACTTAGGAGTCTTTAGTAATAGACATTTACTCCTTAGTACACATTTAAGTATTTATGATACTTCTCCTTTGGTTTAAATACATTTTACACAAAAAAGCTTTAAGTTTAATTTTTCTCCAATTGTAGAATGAAACTCTAATCATTGGTAAAGGAATTTCAAGGTATACCTACAATAGGGACAAGAATTGGGGGAAGAGAAAGGGGGTATAATGAACCTCCTGAATATCCTAACATTCTCTTTCCCTCACAGTGTAAGGCTTTGTGTTCCATAGAGGCTAATCCCAAACAATAGGGCTGGAGCGATAGCTACTGATAATAAAAAGAACTATTTGAATAATAAAGTCCTCTTTGAGGTTTGTAATACTTTAACACCAAGGAGCTCTCTGACTACATATTATACAGGACTAAGACGTGAAAATAACAGAATCATTTCCCATTAAATTACTCTCCATTCCTGCCTAGTTCGTGTTCTTTTGCACTCTAGATCTCAAGTCCTGTAGCACTGTAGCACTGTCCTCCCATTGTTCATTGATTTGCTTGAGCGGGCACCAGTAACGTCTCCATTTTGAGACTTGTTTTTACTGTTTTTGGCATATCGAATACACCCGAGGATGCTTGCCAGGCTCTGCTCTATGGACGGGATACTCTCTGTAGCTTGCCAGGCTCTCCGAGAGGGATGATAGATAGGGATGGAGGAATCGAACCCGGGTCAGTCTCGTGCAAGACAAATGCCCTACCCGCTGTGCTATCGCTCCACCCATCTCAAGTCCATTGGGTAAAAATATTTTGAATGATATAAGGGCAGAAAAAGAGTGATTGAAATGTGCATCATTCCTTAAGTACATTTAATTTTGAAAGATATATAATCAATCAACCTTGCTCCCTGTCTAATCATGGTAGCTAGAAGAGGCAAAGTAAAACTTTTGCAGTTCACTTCAGACCAAAACAGACAGCCAAAGTAGGAGTGGAAAGGGGTGGAATCAATGACTCCAATCAATGTTCTATATTAATATTTTTATATGGCAGCGTTGATTTGCAGCTGACCATGTGCCAACTGGCATCTGGAAAATATTACTCAATCTACCCAATTGATGTAATAATTAGATTGCATATATGGCTCCTCTGCGCTCACTGCCAGCTCAAGAAATAAATGTTATTGGTGAGCCAATCAATCTTTTCCCCCATTAAAGTTTCAACCTGCATCAGCAGTTATATTATGGAGATCAAAAGTCACCCAAATGAGAGAAAACTAGCAAAGAGAAAACTGGCAATTTGGGAGAGGATTATACTGCAGTATTTTCCCAGCAGTATTTATATGATCAAGATCTGGGCAGATAAATAAATGAATCCAACTAGACATCCTACTTTGGGTCAAAAAACTGAAAAACACTAGAGGCATAGTCTACAGCAAGGTTTAGCTTTCTCTAATATAGTTGTATGTTTCATATATAAACCAGTTAATGAAAGTGAAAAAAATTTATAAGAAAGGAAGGATTTACTCATATGATGCTTGTCTTTCTGATGGGCAGAATAATGTTTTATCTTGAATAATCCATGTCTTATTACCCAGATCCTGTGAATATTACCTTGGGTGGACTTTAGTGATTAACTTGAGAATCTTGAAATATTATTTTGGGTTTTCTGAATAGTCCTGAATGCAACCATAAGAATCCTTATTAACATGGAACATGAGTCAGAGGAAAATTATAAACAGAAGAAAAGAAGGCAATGTATTCAGGTATGCTAAGACTGAGAGCCACCATAAACTGGAAAAGACAAAATACATATTCTCCTAGAGCCTCTGGAAAGAATATGGCCATACCAATACCTAGGTCTTGGCACAAAAACTGATATTGAACTTTTAATCCCCAGACTGTGAGATGATATATTTATATTGCATAAAACTTCATAGATTGTGGTAATTTGTTACATTAAGCATAGGAAACTAAGGCACTCCTCTTTTACTAAGATCAGTTCACAGATAGAATGATAAAACAAAAACTTCCTATTGTAATATGAAAGGTATCCAAATATTCCTCCACCCAAAATATGATCTTCATTTATCACAATGCAGTATTAAACACTAGAAATCCAAAGTTCACATATACATGTCAATACTTATGCTTTGGGTATAATTATTTTTGCTACTATATTACAAATAGTACACATAAGCCCTTATTTTCCATTAATTGTTTTTCATTTAATTTTTGTGTCCAACTGCTTCCAGCCACCAACAGGCTTTTGAGGTACAGAGAAGGACACTGAGAAAGTAGGAAAGTAGAGTGAAAAAATATTTGAAGCCACAATTGGGATCAAATCAAATGCGTTTTAGTAACAAAACTAAGTAGAGCCCTTACAAATTTACAAGACAGAGTAAAACCAATTTAATTTACTCTTCTGATAAAGTCAAAAGGCATGTGGATCAGGAGAATGTTATACACAGGATACATACGGATTTTAACAAAACTTTTGACTGGCTCACATGAGTCTTTCCCATGAATAGATGATGTGAAAGAAACAGTCTACAGGTAAGACATAAGAGCCAGTAAGATGGTGCTGAATCGAAGTGTCTAGAACCGGTTATAGATCTCTTACGTAAGTCCCAGTCAAGCCACTGTTCCTTTGAAATATTGTAGTTGAGGTAAAATGGTTACAATGGTATGGTGTTTACATGTATGATTTTAGTGTACAAATTTTCTACTCCTACCACCACCAAATTGCCCAACACCCTTCACCACTGTCCTATTGTCACTTCTACATTCACTTCTTCCTCTTATCCCTTTCTCTCCCTCTGTACCACTCGGTAGTATCATTTCTGTAGTCAAAATCCAAGGGTTTTTGTCATATTGTCAGTTCCCTTGCTTTCCTTACATACCATATATGAGTAAGATCAGGTCACTATTCTTAATTAAGGTTCACATGAAGATCAAGGTAGCATGTTTTCTGAGAGGGTACTGAAACTGAAGGGTTCAGCTGACAGACCGGTTGTTTGGAATTAGAACACAAAGCAATAGCAGCTGGGACTGACTTAAGGTGACCTCCGTGGAATGCAATGTCCAGAACTAAGAATCTGAAATTCACTTGCACAAAGACAGGTTTATATACAGAACAGGAATCAGTACAAAAGGTAGAGAGGTCAGCAAGTGGGCAGCATGATGAGTCAGAAGAACATGATGATGTTTAGAAGGCTGAGGGAAGAAAAGATAAATGTAGCCATGTAGCCAGAGTGTGTATCTACAGAAACAGAAAAATGTGGTCCCACTTACATATTACTATTTTTCTGACACTATTTGGAGTTGAAACCTGTGAAATATTTTTTATCTTCGAGTTGTGTTTTTCTTAAAAAGAAAAAAATAAAATATTAAACTTGTTTTGTACTGCTCCTGTGTCAGTGATCACCAGAGATAATTATTGATCATTTTCTACGAGCCAAATAAATTTTTAGAAGT